GGATGCATCAGTATTCACCCCCCTGAGTCAATACAACCCCCTTTTGGGCCATGTCTCCACCGGCTTTGTTCATCCAATCGTCTTAGCAAAAAAGGTGAAGCATGGTCAGGTTGGAACAGCAATTTTCTAAATCTTGCCATAGATTCTCAATTGGTTCGATCACTACTCTACAGCACTTCTGCAGCTAACGATGGCCTACCGTTTGGATGGCCTCCTATTTATATTTATTTAAGTCAGTGTTTCCCCTCCCATTATTAAAGTCTGAACTTTACTTTGCTGCGGCAGCGGCTGCCCAATGGAGAGATGCGCACACACATGGGTGTCACGTCCACAACGACCACCCCCAAAGTTCTAAACAGAGGATGTAGCGGCCTTCGGTGTTCTTTGTCATTAAGCCACAATTGAGGAGATTGTTAGATTATTTAAATTTTGTCTTTATTTGTGCAGCAAAGGATTAACTAAATACAGAAATAACAAATTCTGTCACACGTAGAAAAAACGATTTTCTCTCGTGCCTTATGCAGCTCTTCTGTGTTGCACCATCATGACGTCAATAAATCGAGACAATCAAGGAGCGTCAATACAACATACATTTTCAATATATGTTACATATCTTTAGTTCCTGAATAATGATAATACCGTAAATGTCAGCAAATAGGTCCACTAAAATTCAAGGGTCTGCTGAGTTGACTGCAGTAACAAACACATACACACAGCCAAACCTCAGCCGGACGCACGGTACCTGTTGCCCGGTAACCTGGGGCAACCAGATTCCGATCTCTTTCAACTTTGGTGCCATTGGTCCTCCTCTTTTGGAGATTTTTTAGTCTGTGCTTCAAACCAAGGGCCAAATCCCTTTCTGCGCACCCGCCTGAGAGAGAATCAAAAGAGAAATCAACTTTCTGATGCTGTCTTACATTGCTGAATAAAAGGAGTCTAATGATAGTACAGTTATTATCCAAACATATAAAACCTCAGGTCACGCTGATAACTTTGGTAACCAAAAGCTGAAGCTTGGTCTCAAATTCTAAACCCACTGACTCCTTTTACACAACCTTTATTGTGCGTGTGTGTGTGCGTGCGTGCGTGAATGCACAGAGCAGGTGTGTTTTTAAATGGTGTTTCAATAGAATGAGAGAGACAAAAAGACTTCATCAGGTTAGGAGCCCAGACGTGGGTGGCTGATTCATTGTCTGAGGAATTGGAATTCGGGAATAGAAGGTATGTGCTTTCAGGTGCGTGTGCATGTGTTTGCCTCTATGCTCACTTGTGGCAAGGCTAATTGAATTCTGGCCTGAGGGGGCAGAAGCCTGGCGGGCTTTCCAGGCCTCTGGGGAGAAGCCGTTAGCCGTCCTGATTCACACTGATGCGTTTCTTTCACCCCCCACTAAACCAATCTGCTTCGTTTTGATCATTCTACGACCTAAGCGGCTGGTAATTGGTTGTAGACATTACGCCCCCCCCCCCCCCCTTTCCCTCCCGAAATTACTGCCTAGGCCTGGTTCCCTGCTGGCAGCCGATGAACTAGAAATGCTCTCTCGCCTATTATTAGCAAGATCCGCAAGGCTAAGCAAGGGGGGGTGGTGGTTATTGTTGACCTCTCACCGCAGCTACTATTTCTTTTCCCCCTTTTTTGTCCATGTATTTGTTTTTGAGGCTGTTAGATGCTCGCCTCAGAATATTTTTGGGGTAGTCTTTCGATTGAGCTGGAAAGGAATGCCTTCAATCGTTGCCACAAAGGAACGGAGTGACATGTTCCCGTCAGTTTTGCAACAGATCTAGACAGATGAGGAGGAGGAGGCGGAACGGAGGAGTGAGCATTGTTAACACTCTGTAGGGAGCTGTTTGCCTGCCCTGTGATTTCTAGTCCCTGTGAAATGGAGACTCAGTGATTCGGTTTCCCAGGCCCCCCTTTTTTTGTTGTTCTAGTCTGTCCTGGTTGAGATTTATAGTCCTGTTGCAGCGTGTCTCTAAGTGGACACACAGTGTTCAGAGCCATCTGATTGTAAGTGTCATGGGCCTGTTTAAAGTAGAAGTTAACGTGTAGTCCCGGATGATGCAAAAACATGAGGAAAATGTATACTACATTCAAAGTCGAATATTGGGTGTAGTAAGCTGGGTGTAAGGCAGGACCACTCCAGGAACAACTGGAGGGAAAGCACAAAGCGGGTAGTGTTGGTTTATGATGACAGTGATAGTAGTGGGATTAGAGGCGGTAGGTATCGGCAGGGCCATGGCAGGAGGCAGGAACAGCGTCCAGACAGACCCATGATCCATGGAATCCTGCGAGGCGAGAAAGCATAAAAAGTCTCTGGGGAAAAAGCCGAATTAGTGATGTGCATTAATGAGGCGTTATCAAAGAGGAAAGTTTTAAGCTTCATCTGAAATGAGTTGACTGTGGTTCCACAAAAGAGCAGCTTGATAACTGAAGGCTTTGGCTCCCATCCTTCTTTTTAAGACTCTGGGAACAACAAGTAACCCAGCATTCACCCACTATTTTTACTTTAATTACTTTGTCCGTTTTAAAGACTAAACTTGTTAAGAAGTCTGAAAATTCAGATAGACATTCAGAATAAGGACCTGGGGCCCTGTACACTACAACAAAGAGTTATAATCCAGTTTAGGTTTAAGGTTTATTAGAAGTCATGAACAGCTGCCGCTCCACCTCCTCGGCCTGTGCCTCCAGTAGTATTAACAAGACTTGGAAAGTCGCTTTATTTAAGCTGACATATTAATATTCTCCATTCGACAGCCACGTTTCAGTAAGACAAAATAGATCATGGTGATCTGATATTAGTTAATTTACTAAAACAACTTGATGAAAGAGATCTAACATAAAAATTTCATAAACAAACATGACCAGCCAAGATTAAAGATTAGTGTTTTGTTGTTGTTTTTTAACGGTAAAATATGTTTCCTTTATTCCACATTTCCCAGAAACTTCTAATGAAAGAGAGCAGAAAAACTTTACGCAGGGCAACGTGTTGATGGTTATTCATCTTCAACTGCTTCTGGGATACTTTACTCTCTGTGAGTACCGTAACCCAGGAATTCATGAGCCGGGACTTAGTAGTAGGGACGGATGGGTCAACATACACCCAACTTTCACACTGGAGTCTGCTGTACGTGTCTCAAGGGAAACGCAGAGTTAATGTTGACTGGCTTTGACATACTTTGGTTACACAAATTAAACACAGAAGAAAACACATACTGTAGCAAGTCACAAAATAAACACACTTTATCCAAACCACAATCTGTTCCTAAACCTACCCAGGTGTTGTTGTTCGGGGCTCGCACTGTTACTTTGATTGCTCGTGTTCCTGGACATTGGTAACAACATTGGTAACGACAAAGTTCAAACATTTCTCAACATTTTAAGAAGATATAATGCAAACTTTTATATGAGAAGTTGTCCCAATCAGATGAGCACAGCTACTCCATCACTGATACCGTCCCTCATGTGTCGATTTGAAAGTGGATGTTCCCTCACTAGGGTCCCTGCTTTAAGCTGGTACACCTGACTCCATTTGGCTCCTAAGATCTCAATCATACCAATTTATATTTTGACCCGTTTTCTTCCTAGACCCAAACGTTTGTATACATTTCGTTAATGGAGTTAAAACTTGAATTTGTGCATTTTCTAGTTGCTGTCTCTCTCGGCCTCTCTTTCTCTCCTCGTGACAGACATGCACCAGCCCTTTCGCAGCACATTACGTCAATTCCCCTGGATGTGTTTGGTGGCGGGGGAGGGGGCGGAGGTTGCCAGCTGTTGATGTCACCCCTGGGTCTTTTTAATTTAGGGATTTCCGCTGGGTGAGATCAGGGGCAGCCCCATGACCTCAGCCCACAGCCACATGAAGAGGCCCACCGGTGCAGAAGCAGGCCGGCGGGGCGGGGCGGGGTAGGACCGCTCTGCTGGGGTGTGGGTGGGTGCTGGGTACCGGGTTGCTTTAAGGAGGACCGTTTGAGGAGCATCGTGTCGACGTTTGCGATGGGCACGGGTGTTTTTCAGGAGCGGCCTTTTGGACTGTCGTGCGATTCCCGGTACTCGTAACAGCATGTCTGTGACTAGCAAACACCGCCGCTATCCTTTGAGCCCTTAAATGTAGCCTTTCGGCAGCTACGAATTTCCTCCCATTCAGAGGGGATCAAATGTTCTTGCTAAAAACTATCTGTCGTTCTTCCAATCCTCAAGGCGTTGAATGCTAGTGAACATCGTCGTCCGTGTAACTGATTTTGCGGGATGCCAAAGTCAACTGTAAATGGCTCGGAGAGGAAACAACTTCTTGGAGACATGAACTGTCCAGATGTTTATTAGGATAAATATATTGAATATTCATATGTAAGATGTAGTGGTTAGTGTTATCTCTTTTTTTGGTTTACGGCAGTTGCTTGATTTTTTTTCCCCCTCCTCCATCTCCACTCATCGGAGGACAAATATCTTTACACTTAAATACATTGATTGTTTTTTTTTATATTTTCTTCTTCTTAAGTTGTAAGTCTCCACCAAACTACATTCAAGTATGTCAAATATTTCGAGGGATTCCATCCAGCCAATTGAAGTTTGTCTTATGTCACTAGTACATAATATCTGTATTAAAGTTTTGAGGTTTATTTTCCATCTTTGTTTTAGAAAATTAATGCAGTTTGTATTATGCACTACACGTTTTTTGTGGAATTTCATTCTCAAAATCAAATCCCCTGAAATTTGTCGGTACTTTTAAGACTCAACAAATAATACGAGGCGTTACCGTGACCAGTTCACATCTCAGAAAGGACAACAAATCGATACAGCGGTCTGAACGGGTAGAGAGACTTTGTCTCGGGAGCTGTGGATGAGCTCTTTGTGTACCTGTGACATTCGTGCTTCCTAGCTGAGGGATGCACACATAAATCTCCAGTGCAAAAATAAAAATATTACCATCTGCTTTTCTTTAAGATATTTACATGTATTTGTGTATTTATGTTATTTTCCAGACCTTCTATAAGATTAAAACCTCTCGCTCTCTTTTTTAATTTTGCAGTATCACCCTCTGTCCCTTTGCAACACAAGCGAGGATGAGCGACAAGAGAGCGACTTCATCACCATTGTCAAACTGGAGCACAGGGTTCCCCGATGTCTGCCGCTGCTCGACAAGGTACACACACACACACTCTCTGTTGAAAATACTTTGTGCCTTGAGAAACTCGCCGCTCGCCCCTCTGACAGATTCTCCGTCTTGCTAGTCATGTTTTTTCTCCGGTTCTCCTTCCGCTATGGGATTCAGCCTTTAAAGAGAAGACGGTTTTAGAGGCAATTCTTTGGCAGGAGATTAATGTTTTGTTCGGGACAGTGATCTTCCAGATTGAGGGCTTGGATGGGAGAGGGGGGGGCTTAGCTCAGTGCTGCTATGTAGCAAGTGGCAGCGAGCCCTGGCTTTAGATGTAAGGGTTTTCCAAGCTTCAGCTGTCACTGGTCCGATCCCAGTCAGCAGGCTGACCAGCCAGCCAGAACCAGACACTCGGCTTCCCTCTAATGTGAATGCAGCCGGAGCTCCACAGGTTCCGCCCGCAATGGTTTAGATGTATGTGCGACTGACCTAAATCCCCCCCCCCCCCCCCACCCCCTTGTGTAAGTGTCCCGCCATACACACTGCACGTCCTAACTTTAAAGTAGTGTGATTGAAAACTGTTGCTATTTCCCCCCCGTTTTTTAAGTGGTGACAAATTAGCAGGCTGCAGTAGTTATAGTTAGGCGACTGCCTTTTTTTAGCCTGTGTTTTCTTTTTCCCTAATTTAAAGCAATGTTTAGGAGCTGCCCGCCTTGGCGACGATATGAAGACATTGCCACACTTCCCGGTCCTTTCTTCCTGCGAATGGGGGTAGTAGTGGTTTGGGGGAGGGGAGCTTGTCACTTGAGGACGACTCCAGAAAACAGTTCTGATTAAAGCCTCAATGGCAACGCTATGTTTTCCCGTAAACAAAACACAGCCTCCTCCCGACGCAAGGGTACCTTGGAACAAAAGACTGTCGTTTCCGAGTGCCTTCTCACCACTGAAATCAGGAGAAGTGACGGAGTGGGGGCGAAGGGGGGTAGGGAGGGCTCTTGTTGTTTCAGTTGCCTGGAAAGTATGTGTTGCAGTAAACTCTGCTCCAACCACCTGCATCCTCGCTTCCGAAGCGAGATTCAAAGCGTTTAGGTCAGGGTGGATTTATTGGGGGGGGGGGATTCATCGTGCAGCTGTTGAAGAGTTTGGTCCTTTTAAGGAGGATGAATCAGACCGCTCGGGATGTGCGGTGCTGGGTCGACCGTGGTCTCTGGATGGGACTTGTTTACAGTTTAGTCTGACTGCAGCCCGCCCCGCTGATCTATAGATACCTCGACGGCCACAGAGGGTTCGTGTTGCACCGCGCAGACTCAGAATAGACTGTAAACCAAACAAAGTCAGCCTCCAAACCTTCAGGGATAAGGTTTCATTGTTGTCCTTTGCTTTATTTTGGTTTTCACAGATTTCTAACCCCGGCGACATCGTGAACATGGGAGATCCCTTTGCTGATTCACAGCAATCTGTGCCGTCTCTAGCCCTTTGTTTCAGCGAGTGGATCTCAATTAGCCTCTGAGGTTTTTGTGCTTGGATGTCTGTGCTGCACAACCTCTTCAAATGATGTCAAATTAAGCAGACCGCTTCAATAAGAAGTGCATTTAATCATCGCCCTCTCCTGGTGCGTTCTGCACTACTGGCAACCTCTCACCCACATTTGCATATTTGTAAGTTATGAGGTTTTTTTGTATGTGGAAGTCTTTAATAATTGGATAATGCTTTAAACATTACATGGATATTTTTCATTTAATATTTTTCCTCACACACACTAATGTGATTCAATCATGAAACTGTTATAACCCCATAGGAAACCAAATTTAACAACATATGGGGAACAATCGATGGCACTTACCTTAAAGGAATACTCTACTTTACTTTACTTACGGATCAGCTCTCTCTATGCCATTCCCTGAATCGAAACCCTCCACCGCTCCTGTGGTTTTTGCATCATTACACAACACAGACCACGGGCTTCCTTGGCCAGCATGTCCTGCTGGAAGTGATCTGTCTGCTTTCCGCTAGCCAGCCTGTTTACACCAAAGCCCTGAAAGGGTTGTCACATGACCCGGCGAGAACAGGCATCGCACCGGGTTGCCTGCAGTGCAACTCTAAAGGCCCCACGGGGCTAACGTAGCTCCAGATTAAGGTTGCAATCTGTGCGCGGGCACTGCAACTCTGAAATGCCGTTGGTTAGAATGCACGGTTTTGAGCAAACGGCGAGCCTTTGCAGTGGTCGGGTCTTCGGCCCGTGTCTGAACTTGTTAGCTTGTGTAGAAAGCTTTGTTTATTGATTCTGCTCCTCTTAGATGAAAAGGGTTACACCCCATTGGGCATTAATCCTGTTTAAACGCGCCAGCTCACTACAGATACATCTACATGTGTTTGAATACTGCACGTGTGTGTGTGTGTATTACTTTAAATGTGCCTTCCAAATTGATCTCTATCTGGTAGACTTTGTGATGAGGCGGATCCAAAGACTGTGTCAGTATCAGGGGCCGAGAGGCAAACAACACTGATGGTTCATGTTTGCTATTTGTGCACGTAACACAATAACAGAATTGACCTACAGCTAAAAAGTAGTTTTAACTATAGGTGTACCTTATTAACTGGGAACTGGGTTTGTGTATATATGGAGCCCCAAAACTGATCCGTGTACAGATCCCTGCCCTGCAAATACAAGTTATTCATCTTTTGATGTTAGGAAATTATCTTCATTTTTCTTCTGCAATCCCTAACATTAGCATGGCCACGTTATTGTCACACAGAGTAAAATAGCAAATGTTTTGGAGGGCTACAACAACTAGTTGTTAGTTAAAATGTACTAGTATGTAGTATAGTATAGTGTGTATTTATTCATCTATATGGAAAAATAAAAAAACTGATTGGAAGTCAAGAAACATGTACAATTCATTTAACATTTTAGTTTTGTGAGTGATGATATTAGATAACAAAATGTACTTCATGACTCCATTACTGCATGTGTGCATATAAGTATATAATATATCCAATACATAATCTATTGCCAGTGCAGTGTTGTTTTCCTGGGAATCAGTAGCCACCAGCAGAATAGATCACAAGCACTTAACAACTCGTGCAGCTGTAGAATGATACGGATACGGAAGTTCTGAAAACTGGTGGCAATGGTCAATTCTGTGTGTGGCCGGTACTCTCGGGCCAGGAAGAGCTCTCCCACTGACAGGAAGTGGTAGAAAACAAGGGAAGCCCGTTAAGAGGGGAATAAATCACGGCCATCACGACTATGTTTTTGCCTCCTTGTGTCTGATTGTCTGTAAGGGGTGACACTGACCCCAGGCTATTCCTGCCTGCTGTTTTTCAGCAAAGACAGGGACTGGAAATGCAATGGCAGCTGCCTTTGGCTCCTCCAGTAGCCGAGCCTAACGTCTCCAGTTCATCGGAGATGAGTGAAGCAGCAGGAACACAGGGAAACATCTGGGAAAGGGGGAATTCTCCAGCTTTTCAGAGTAAATGCAAAAAGCAGCAGGTACACAATAGACATTTTGGCTAGTCTGAAATGCATCAGTGTTCGCTTTGATTTCCCTCCCAAGATATTTCATTATTCGCCCGTCTTTGCCAGACGGTCGCACACTTGTCTTCAAAGGGATGAACTATACCTTCCTGTTCCTTTCTATTAGTCAAAGCTGGACCCTTTGTTAATCGACCGGCAAGGGAACCTGCACTCAAACCACTGTGTGCACTTTTTGTCCTTTGAAGCACAGACAGCACACAATTCTGTGTCTCTCTTTCCGAAATGAGAAGAACTGTAAATGAATGCAAAAGAAGTCTGAAAAACGCAACATTTCTCAATCGGTTTTTCAGTCCTCTGAGCATGAGCCCTGTTTTCCTGTCATGGTCCTTCAGCTCTTTGTCAGAATCCTTTACACTGCTGTTGGTCTTTCATCTTGAACTGCTTCAGAAGTAGATTTGGGCTTGCTTTTCCCTTTTTCTATCAAGCGTTAGAGTGACTGTTCCAAATATGTCTTACCGCTCTTAACTCCTTTAAGGATATTGGCGCAGTAGGTGTCATTTCTTTTTCTCTTTTAGAAAACACGACCACGTCCCTCTGTTTGTCCCGACAGTCTTTTCCCTCCATTTCCTCTGCTGCTAAAGTTAGCTGCTGTCATAGCTCATATCAACGGGAAGATAACTCAGCAGGAAATACTCAGCTTTGCATCCAGAGTCTCTTTTAACTCCCTATGACTCATTTGTGACCCGTAATGTCATTTGTAATTTGATTAGGCTGTCTTGTGTATTCTGTCTTGTATTTTAATACAGTGTGTTGTGACTGTCATAGCCAGCGTCCTCTGCTTCTTGTTCCTTTCATGATGCATGGCTGAAAACGTACTCTTGTTGTTTTGGATTAAAATGTAAAAATTAATGCATATAAATTGAAAAAGGAGCCATTGGATTATAAATGAAAACAAAAAATAAGCTGTATGATATATTCACTTTCACAAGTGTCACTTTTGTTCCAGCCATGACAAACATAAACATGATAGTGGTCAATCGTCTTTCAGGGTAACGCCTGTCTTTCCAAATGAAAACATTCACACGCACTCGGGTGAAGTGCTGATGGCCGACCATCCGAAGTGATTTCTTCCAAAAAGGATCAGCCCAACCTGTGAGAGCTCAGATGAGCCGTCAGGGGTAATGGATGTCCGTGAAGTATCTGCTGCGTTGTCCAAGGACAGGAAAACAGGGTGATAAGTCTCCTGTTGTCGTCACACAGACAGGAGGGAATGTTCCCATGGGAGAAAGTGAGATAATAAATTATAATAATTTGAGTTCCAATTTCGGGTTGCAGCGCGTTGACCTCGCTTTGTACGGGAGAGCCTGCACACTATTTCCCAGAGAAGGAGCTCCTGCTCGTTAGGAACGTCTGTAGATGCTGTGTTCCTCCTTTTTCCACCTGAGGTCCTCATGTACGTACATTTGCAAACGTAGCGTTATTATCGTTATATCATAGTGCACGCTGTGATAATTCAGTTTATGGCCTATTTACAACACCTGCAGTTCATCAGGTAACCAGCGCCTTTCTC